TTCTGCCCCGTGCTGCAGGTGTTCTTCCCGTTCAGCATCCAGCTGTACCCGCGCGAGTTCCCCGGGCACGACCCCCGCGACTGCCCCCGCGACGTGGGCAAGGCGGCGGCGCTGCGCCTGGGCTGCATCAACGCCGAGTACCCCGACTCGTTCCTACCGCGAGGCTCGCTTCTCCCAGACCAAGCACCACTGGTGGTGGAAGCTGCACTTCGTCTGGGAGCGCGTGCGGGCGCTGCGGGAGCACTCGGGGCCCGTCCTGTTCCTCGAGGAGGATCATTACTTGGCCCCCGACTTCTACCACGTCCTCAAGAAGCTGTGGGCGCTGCGGGAGAGGGAGTGCCCCGAGTGCCAGGTGGTGTCCCTGGGCACATACAGCCCCGTCCGCGGGGGCTTCGCCGGCCGCGCCGACAAGGTGGAGATGAAGACGTGGAAGTCCACGGAGCACAACATGGGCATGGCCTTCGGCAGAGACACCTACCAGAAGCTCATCGAGTGCACGGATGCCTTCTGCACCTACGATGACTACAACTGGGACTGGACTCTGCAGCACTTGACTGTGTCTTGTCTTCCAAAGTTCTGGAAAGTGCTGGTTCCCGAGATCCCCAGGATTTTTCACACGGGGGACTGTGGCATGCACCACAAGAAATCCTGCAGACCGTCCACCCAGAGTGCCAAAATCGACTCTCTCTTGAACAGCAACCAACAGTACCTGTTCCCCGAAACCATGAGTGTCAGTAAAAGGTACTCCATGGCTCCCCTGTCCCCTCACGTGAAGAACGGAGGGTGGGGAGACATCAGGGACCACGAGCTCTGTAAGAGCTACCGCAGACTCCAGTGAGGATCCTCCTCAAAGCCTTCTTTTTTCTCTCTTGACTTGTTCCATTCTGTCTTTTACAGGCACACACGTGTATAAACAGCATTTATGAGTTGGTTTCTGCTTTAATATGAATAAACATTCTTGTTCAAGGTGTCCCAAAATAGTCATCTTTCATGTTTGGAAACTGCAGCCCCTACGCAAAAAGTGACCTGCTGCTGTGTCTGCTGGGAGGAGCAGGAGGAGGAGGAAGAGAATACTTCTAAGTGCATCTTTTTTGGTGCTTCAGGGCTCTGGTGTTGCCTGTGACCCCAGGGAGGGCCTTCACGCACTGTCCCACCCGGTGTCACCCCATGCCTGATGCCTGTGTCCTGCTTTGGTTGCGATGTGTTGATGAATATATGAAGGATAAAAGAATCAAGTCATTGTTTTTACTACAATGTAGATAAATATATGATTTTTTTAGTTCTGCTGAAATAAAAATCCAGTTGTTTTGTAATCCTAGAGCAGTTCTTGATTTGTCACCGGAAGGATGATGTCATCTCATGTTCCTAAAAAGTTGGGATGGGGTGGGGAGTGAGTTTGGTGTCTTTAATCCCAAGACCTGGACATGTGCCATCAGCCCTCCTAGCATGGTGCACTTAATTCCATTAAACTTCTAATAATCCTCACTAATTCAGGCAGAAAAGAATAACAAATTGGTGGCAAAACACCTTTTTGGATCCAAAATCAAAAGTTGCTTTCAAATTAGTTCTCTCTGTACAAAATCCTGCTGTGTGCTGGGAACGGGCTGCGCTGGAGATACAGAGACATTCCTTAACAGCAAGTGTGTCCTTGCCTGAGTTACCTGCAACCCTGTCGCGGCACTCCCTGGTAGCAGCAGCACCTAAGCAGCTTTTTGTAGGCAGAGAAGGATGTTAGACAAAGAAAATGCCTTTTTCCCCCCCAGGAGTTATTTAACTGCTGTAATTTTGCAATGTACTTGCTCTGTGTTCAGCTTCACCAGGTCAGGGCTGGTGCTGAAGCTGTGTCAGTGCCTCAGCTCTCCAACACCTCCCACGAGGAGCTGATGGGGGTTAAACTTCACTCAGCAGAGCACTCACCCTCCTCTAGCTGCACGTGCTGCCAGGGAGGCCAGGGCAGATGTTTCGGGCAGCTGTGGACTCAGTAACACTCACCATGCACAACTGTGATGGTAATTCCAGAGCAGCCCTGAAACAAAGCAAACTTAACCTCTTGTGTCTTGTAGAGGGAACCAGAAGTTGGTTCAG